GGTACCCAAGCTAGACCACAATGCACCATGTTCACTATCTCACAAAACCATATAAGGCATGGTGGACAAAAGATATTGGTACCCAAGCTAGACCATAATGCACCATATTCACTCAGAAAAGGCCTAAAGAAGAATCATTCTTCTCATGTACTACACCTTTTTTTGAATCAATTTTTTAAAGTCAATCCGTTATTTACAGCATGATACGAATACCATTCTTTTCATTTTCCTGACACAGACTTAAACTAAATTTACTTACCCATCGACCAAAAGCATTTGCCTTTGACCCACTTCGTACCCATCAGTCCTTGCTCTCTTAGAGGAATAGTGACGTAATCAAAGGCAGAAGAGTCATTCTGTATTAAGAGACGATCCCCAAGAATCCCGGTACTTGAAGTATTGTTAGAACAAATTGAGACTGGGTCCCGGAAGTACGCAGTGATGACGTAATGACCTCGGTCATGTATCCATGGTAACGACTTGCGCAAGACTTTCTTCTTTGGTATCTAAATTTAGAGATAACTTTGATTAAAAAAGACTGCTGTGACAAATTCCAGACGTCTTGAATGGCATTGAAACCATTGCCCCAACTCACTTCTCCCTGGATGCCAACGATCTTTGAATTTGAATCGTCGAACAACAACATCACGGATTTATCTTTTCTGAGTGTGTATCGATTACCACGAAAGAAGTTTTGATCTACGAAGAAAAAACGGTCAGGTTTTGATCATATTATTTTTGGTGTCACTTTTGGGCTTTCCGAGTGGGGCGGAAAACTGATAACGAATACCACGCGCGATGAATCACGGGGCTGTATTACTGGATGCCAATTTTTCGATACTGCGGAAAGCTTAGCAAACTCTCTTGAAAAACAGACCAAGAACCAAAGTAAATGTGATTCGATTTAAAAACTTAAACCCGTTACACGGAAGGACAAAATGGCGTCCCTAGATGGACTGTATAGCGGCTGCCAGAGGTGCCTTCACATGCTTTCAGTTCGACCCTGTTGAGCTGCGCCACTGCTGTACTTGCGGTGGTGATTAGTGATGACAAGTTTTTTTCTTAAACTGCCCCATGATTCGGCGCGCGCCCTACTCGTTACCAGTTTTCCGCGCCACCTCGGAAAGCAAGAAAAAAATATTTCTTACTGTCGCATCGTGTATCTTGTACCCAGTTCCCGCTCTTAGCTTGACTGGTTGTTAAGGGCAACCGAAACAGTTTCATCCACGTAACTGGAAAAAAAATTGGGGAATGAGAACACTAAATATGGGAAATGGAAAATGAGTGTTTCAAACCTGATAATTGATTCCATCTTGGACTCTTCACATCTGGGAGAAAAACAAAAATGAAAGATGTTCTTTAAAGATTGGATGATTAGAATTAAAGATGGCCTAGTAGTTCGTAGTGCACTCTCGTCTCTCACTCTGGGGTCTCAGGCTTGATTGATTGACTTGGCAACACATGTGATCAAGTAAAGTTTGTCAGGTCCCTCCCATTATTCAAAGGGGTTTCAGTACGGCTTGAGTGTTTCCCTCTGCAAAACTTAACAAGCTATATTCCAATTCTATCTGTGAGTATAGCCATGCCCTGACTTAGATCAGCCCAGAGATTGTTTCAGGGTTTGATCTGTGTGTTAGCCATACCCTCACTTAGATCAGCCCAGAAGCTGTTTCAGGGTTCGATCTGAGTTGTAGGTGTGCCCTGACTTAGATCAGCCAAGAGGTTGTTTCAGGATTTGATCTGTGTGTTAGCCATGCCCTGACTTAGATCAGCCCAGAAGCTGTTTCAGGGTTCGATCTGTGAGTTAGCCGTGCCCTGACTTAGATCAGCCAATTAAGCCTAAGGTAAAGAGGTCTATTTAATTCTTTTTTGCTCTGTCCCTTTTGTACCTAATAAGATTTTATGCAATGAAGGTGTTATATAAATATATATAATCAAGACACCATTATTCCATTTAGACAACTTACGAGTTTCATTTGTTGGTGTCCACTTATTGGAACTTGTTTCTTGTGCATTTAGAAAGACGCAAAAGATTACAGCAAAAAACAAGCGTGCCATACTCGTAAGGAAACTGTCTTTGTATGGCCTTGAACTTTAATGGAATAAGTTTTACTTAGTGCTCCTCTTCAAAAACGCACTGGGATTTGAGGTTTAAAGATTCGATACTCATATAGTAATAAGCTTAATGGAATGATCACCACCTCGTGGCAGTCAACCTCGGTATGTTTACTTAAAATCTCTTTTAAAGCTTAAGTTCAAGAACGCAGCATCTTTGGTGCATTTAAGCATATTTAATTTCGCATTATCTTGACCATTCATGCTGTGTCTAGAGTGAAATGCTGGCTGTTTCTGCGCATCCCACACGGTACAATAGCCTTTCGTTGATTATATAACAGCAGGGCTTACCTTTTGAGTGAAAATCTAGCCCACACAGTATGTTGTTTGACGCAGTTCGTTTTGACGAATATAAAGAAATACTCAAGTGTTACGGCGTATAAATATTTGAACATCAATGGGATTAAGTAAATCCAGACAAAACTACGTAAACGAGCGAAAAACAATTTCACGCTTCACAGACAAAGATATATTACTCGCGAGAAACTAAAAGGAGGTGTAGAAAAGATGAAAAGCATTAGAATAACAAAGTCGAGTGACCTTGCATTCAATCCCTCTCGACCCACAAACGATGTATTGACACTGTCTGTGCTGTTGACGTCATAGAGGATAGCTGTCAATCATTCCTTTCGAAGGTGAATGACATTACATTCAATCTATTTATATAATACAATCCCATGCTTCAGTTTCTAATCTGAAGCGTGCGTAACACTGCCGTATACTTAGTTACTGAAATCTTAAAGCAGAATTTTGATAGAATTATTCTTAAAGTGTGCCGGTTTAAAATCGAGGGGAAGCCATTTAAGTGTTACTGCACCATCAACTTTCTTTTCATAAGAGAAATTTTCTATAAGCTCTGTGTAATGAATCTAAATTCTCAAAAATATCGTAAATACACGCTCTTTTAAGGTGAAAGATGGTCAACAATTTTGGCGCCAAAACCATACGCACGCGCGTCGTCGTAATCAAATATTCATATCTATTTATATCTTCAGTATCTGTGGTTATAGATTATTTTTAATTCGTGTTGATGGGTATTTAGTCTACTTAAAATACCAAACACGAACAAAATTCTTTCTTTCCAACAGTGTTGAATATTTAGCTTTTGTTTTCAAATCTTTTGAACGTCTTTTTTCCCTAACTGTGTGTTCTACGGGCATCTCTGAATTGATTTATCTAGAACAACGCATTTCGAGTTTTAAAATAATTATGATATAAGCGTTTTTTTTTGTTTTTTTTTACGAAATTTTACGAAAAGTTTCTAATTAGAATATTAATATTTTTACGATAAATATTGCTTTGATACCATCAATTCTATATTGGTGCCCTTATTTTTATTTTTATTTTTTTGTTTTCAAGTGATTGTTTTTAACCATTTCACCTAAAGGAGCCAACGATCTACGCGTCTAAAAGGATCCCTTCCTCGTAAGCCATTTATCTGTCATTATCCAAAGCACATATCAATCAACATACGACCTTAAGGACTGTTGTCGCACCGTTGTGGCCGGAATGTTAGTCAATGATATAATACGAGATGCACTTAGGCATTTAAGGAGCCAGGTAGTTTGTTATTATGATCGTTGTATGGAATGTTCGAGTAATGTTCTTATAAAATGCCAACACGTATCGAAGGAGCAGTCTAGGGAGGTGCGGTAGTTTTCAAAATGAAAAAGTTACTAGGAATAATAACACATGAAATTTGCATACCTTCCCTCCCTCCCTCCCTCCCTCCCTCCCTCC